CCGCCCTCCCACACCCCTCCCCTTTGGTAACCACTAGTTCATTCTTGCAGTCTCTGAGTCTGCTGCCATTTTGTTCTTTCAGTTTTGCTTCATTGTTATACTCCACAAATGAGGGAAATCATTTGGCATTTGTCTTTCTCCACCTGGCTTATTTCACTGAGCATAATGTCCTCCAGCTCCATCCATGTGCAATGGCTTTATCTTAAATGTGTCTGGAAAATCTTTTAAACTCCTAATAAAATGTTGCTATTTTCCAGGTGTATTTTATTTGAATTACTGTTTTCTTTAGTTAGGCCTTGATTTGATAATTTTTTATAATTTTATAATTCCTTTAGTTAGGCCTTGAATTGTATAGAATTTTATCACTATGTTTGCAAGTTGTCTTCGTTTGATGAACATTATCACAAGTGGTCCCTGCTATAAAAGCATGATTTGAATTGTGTGGCTGGCTGTTTTATGGTAAAGTCAGTGATGATGTAGCTATCATACGAGTAACTGGATTTCAGGATATTTTGTTTGCTGTGTTGAATTTACAGCAGTTACTGTCTACTGTTTTAGATCATCAAGCCAAGATCCAGTAATCTTTGTGAATCATTGTGATTACCTCTTATCACAAAGCTATTATAGGGCAGAAAGAAGACTGTACTTTTCAGTTTTTATAAAATTGCATTCATGATAATGTACTTCTGTACTCTGGCAAAAGAAAAGATATCCTTAATGTTTGCATTGTCTAGAACTCATTTATTTATAGACTTGTGTAACTCTGGCTGCTGGATTGTGCTGCAGTTGTATGTCAGTTGCTAAAATCACTTAATTCCTAACTCATAGTCTACAGCCTGAATTAATATTTTGGTGTTTATATCATTGGCATAGAGCAATAAGGAATATTTATGCTTGATTTTTAAGCCTGGCCAGTAATTGAAATGGAGGGATCAAAAGGAAAAAAGTGGATAGAGGGGAGAAAAAGGTACAGAAGATGCCTTCTGCTCCTTGCTCACCCAACCCCAAACACCAGAATCCCATCCTCTCTGGAGCCTTGATATTTTAGATACAACAATTTTGAAATGCCACTTTGATGTAACATTTATCAAGTTCATCAAAACTAGGTCTTTTACATTATTAACAATTTAATTCTCACAATTTCCCAGTAAAGTGAGGTACCGGTGTCACCCCATTTTATAGGCGAATACGTGGAACCCCAGAGAAATTGAGCAATTTACTGAAGTCAGAGAATAAGTAGCACAGCAGGGATTGGAGCCTGAGTGCCTGGCATGCATCCAGGCTGTTAAATGCTACACCACACTGCCTCTAGTGGCTTAGATACAACCGTTTGACTTGGGGACCTTTTAATTGTAGCCTAAAAATACAATTATTAAACTTGCCACTATAATAACAACTCCATGTAATGTTTGAGGCCTCCATTCTCTGCCATCACCTGGCTGCATGTTTTACCTGAGCCTTACCCCATAACTGACCCTTGTCTGTCTGATAGGATCCACTTTCTATAGCCTATGTCAGTTGTTGCAAGACATAGGCTATAGAAAGTGTCATGGTCACTGGCATTCACATTGAAGGGCTCCATCAAATCCATTTTAACAAAACGCACTGCCGCATACTTTTCTTTCCTTAAAGTTCCTTCAACTTCTGAACTTGATGGAGGGCATGTAAAACCTTGGTTTCCAACCAAACCTTTGTTTATAATTTCTGGTTTGAAACAAACACATGACAGATATAAAAATCTGTACAACTTGAGAGAAGCTGGTGCTTCTGTTAATTAATCCATACCAACTATAATTTCCAAGGATAAAGCAGTGGAATATAAGCTTTATTCTTGCCTTTTTAAAAAGTTGTTAATACAAAATGTGCTAATTCAGTCTTTTAAATGGATAATAGCTTTTTCAATTTATTAGCAGTAGCATCATTTGCTCATTTACAT